AGGGCAAAATTGTCAAAATCTCTTGTTCAAGTAGAGGCAGCACATCACAGCCACAGAGAGCAGAGATATTAAAGTGAAAAACCCTGGTAGTTCTGGCTCAAAGTCAGAACTAGCTGAGTGCTTCTACATCTCTTGGCCCCAGGGAGTTATTAGTAACATTTTTAAAGTCATCTTTAACATTATGTGTCTTTTGTTTTTAATATATTAAGAAATTGCGCCCCAAAGGGGAATGGACTCCTGAGTTCGGTGTCAGCCCCTGAAAGAGTAAGTTGGCATCTCTAACTCCACAGCCAAGTCTGTGTGTCCATGAAGGGAAATACACCCTGTGTCTCCCTCCTAATGGGTATTAAACTGTCTTTGGGAAGGGATTAATGAACCCTCTTGGCTTTTCAAGCTCTTTCTTCTTTTGCCGAAATATTTTTTTTTTTAAAATCATTCCAATTCCCTCCAGAATCTTTTTCTACGTATTAATAAACAGAGCAGTTGGCAAGAGGGAGTCTCCCATGACTTGGCTTCTGCCTTTCACTCAGGGGGATCAGATGAGAGCCACAGGAAACCACTAAGGACTGTATTTAAAGAGGGAAACACGGAAGAACTTGTAGGTGGATGTCCAAAACCATAATCCTCAATGCCACGGAGTGGGACCTGGGAAAAACACAGGACTCCTGTGAGTCTGGCTTCATTCTGCTCTGGCCTATTCCTCTCCAGCTTTTTTGTCCTTCCATAAGGATTAGGTGTGGAGTCTTTAATTAAGCAGGGGTTAAACCCCACTCCCACCCAAGAGCAATATGTTCCTTTAACAATTCCACCAGGAGACCAAAAAGAGATTTGTTGAGTTCTCAGTGAGAGGCTTTGACCTGTTAACTACATACAACCCCCTTCTATAGATTAAAAGCAGGATCTATTTATCCTTTGGCAGGGGACTGATTTATCTACCTGGGGACTCAGTTCTGACCTCAAGCCATGAAGGTGCTGTCTGTCAAGGGCTATTGCCCACATTCCTTCCATTCTTTCAGAAGGAGGGAATAATTTTTTGACCTGGCTTTTTGTGATGTTGGGACAAGAGTGAGAATAAATATTCTCATTCCTGATCATTCCAGGAGAGTTTAATTTATACATTTTCCCTCTGAGAGTCTTTCCAATCCATATTAAGCTTGCTGAAAGGAAAGATTATCATTTAAGCCAAGGGATCCAGGATGGAACAGGTCTAAAAAAAGACTCGACGTGTCTCTTCCCTTACGAGCTGCATTATTAATAAAAGTTCTGGAATATCTCTTGGGAGAAAAGTCTGGAATATGTGAAAGTGAGAAAATGGTATGGACATCCCACAGGGATGCTTATGATCCAAGTGGTTTCCTACACAAACACAAAGTAGAAGATTACTCAGAGCAGGAGACTCTGCCCCTCGGCTGCAGTGACCTGTCACACCTGCAGTGTCTGAAGGACCCTGCTGTGGCCTCACGGTCTCAAGATGGGCTGGAGGAAGCACCAAGCCAGGAGGAGGCACCAGGGAAGCTGGAGGAACGGGGCAGACCCCTCAGCACACTTTCCTAGGCTGTGTATCCCTCTTCAGCTCCATCTCTTTCCCTGACAGCCGGTATCTCCTGCAGGAAAGACTCATGTCTGAGATGAGAACTGCTGGGACTGTGGAAAAGGCTCTCCATACATCTTTCTGAGCAAAGACAGGGCTGTGCTATCTGCAGCCCCATGATTGAGGCACTTAGTACTCATGAGCCTTTCCTAAACCCCGAGGAGGCAATTCCCAAAAGGATCATTACTGCAGAATGGCCTCACCGGTTGGGTGGATGCTCCTTGCATAAACAACACAGCAGCAAACAAATTAATTACCTCATTGTAAATACCTGTTTCCAGCCTGGAAAACTGCTCATCAGTCTTGTCTGAAGCTTCTGATCTCAGTTCTCAAGCTCTCCTGGCTTCCAGTGGTGCCAAGATGGAGCATGAAGCACGTAGTAAAAGTGACTCCATGTTCGTCTCCTCCTCAGCTATTTACAGAAATGTTTAGATGTTGGGGGAGTTTGATTTATGTGCCTTATCTGCCTCAAGCCAGATAGAACACTTCCCTTCCCTTACAAACACTGCTTAATGGATCTCTAACAGCCCTGCTTTCACGACATCAAATACACAAGAAAATAAAGGGGAGAAGGAGGAACCAAACAAACAACTCTTTATTGTTTCCAGGTGTCCCTGATTAGGGGTGGAGGAAGATAAGCAAATTGCAATTGGGTCCTTGGCACAAGCTCATCACACATAAACAGAGCAGACAAAAAAGCCCTGGATGTTAAAGGGAGAAGTTCTTAACTCCTAAAAGATCCCAAGTGTTCAAAGGATGTCTGAAAACAGGCTTGCAGTTCCTTGTCGGGCCTGTTTGCCTTCTCAAAGCTCTGCAGACAAGAAGCAAAAAGCCAAGGTGGTGTTACCCCCACCATGGAAGGCTGTGCTCCATCACAGCAAACCAGTTTGGAGGTGGGCTATACTGGTATAAACCAGCTGGGGAAACCCCCTTCACCCTCAGTACAAGGAACAAAACTCATCCAATATCCTCTCTTTTGGGGTAACACAGTTCTTCCTCTGGCTCAGGCACTGGAGGTTGCTCATTACACACGTTTTTATTGATCTTGAGCACATTCCTGCACAAAGTTATGCTTGAAAACAGGTACAAAGAGTTTGATTTCCTTCCCTCTAGCTCTGTATTACTTATTTCCTATGAACTATTAGCCATCTCCTATGAACCAGACTGGCACACAGACCAAAGCAGCCCCCACATGCATGAGAAATGGGTTGGGCCCAAATGAGTTGGAAACATTCATTATATTCAAACAAAATCTTCTGCTGTATTTTGTCCTGCCTCCCAAGCAGCCCCATGTTTTGCTTTTGCTCTTCTCACTTTATAATACCCTCCGTTCTTATTTTCCTTTATGATCTTTTTCTTCACTGACTGTAAAAAAAAAAACCCTCAATTTGACAGCATTCAGTTTTGAAAAATCAAGGAGTCCATAAATAAGGCTCAAGACAGACCCAAATATAGTCTCTAACAGAAATGATAACTTTTACAAGGCTGGACAGCACCTTTTCAATATCACCTTTTGATAAGCAAATGCCACTGAATGGGATGGGATCACAGAGCTGGTATTTTTAAAAATGAAAAGTTCAGGTGTTTTCATTCAAAAGCATTACATTTCTCCTGAAATGTAGGGGGGAAGTGGAGTGGGAAAATAGAACAAAATATGAAAAGGTGTAAAGAGAGCATTTTGTCAGAGTTCATCCAGATCCTTCCGCCCATTTCCCTCACACTACAACTTATTTTTAACTTTACCTGTTATCCTGATTCTGGATAGGAAAAGGTATTGACAATCTCATGCTGTAGAGGTGAGAGGAGGGAAGATGAGAAGGCTTCAAAGCAGCTGGTGCAATCCAGGCCCCAGTTCCCTTGGAATATAAATGAGAATTAAATGCTTAATTCCCGCTGGTGGTGCTTGAAGTCCGTCGTGGCTTCTTGCTGCAACACAGAGGAGGAAAGACTGTGATGGGCCTGTGCTGCTCTTGTGTCTCTTGAGTCCAGAAGTGGAAATTATTTGAATGTTTCCTTAATGGGCATCCTTAGCTCTGAGCACTTCAGGGAAACCTGTGTCACACAAGTGCTCCCACAGCAGTGGAAGTGATGACAACTGGTTTGTTCCTCTCTTTCCTGTGGCTTCTCTTGCTCTGAGCTGAGTCTCAGCCTCTCCATCAATAGATTGCCTCATTTATTTAGATCTCTCTCTTCTTCTCCCTTGTTTCTTTTTAGAAAATGTGTAAAAAAAAAATCAATAGCTTTTAGGACCCCATCTTCCTGTCATTTTTTTTTAAGTGGGACTTTTTCAAAGGATAATCAGGAGAAGCAAATGGCCAGATGATGCTCTCAAATAGGTTTCATTTTCCTTGAGAAACAAGTTTTAAAGTTCATGTTTTATTATTTTTTTTCCTGTAACATAGGAATTAAAATCATTAGATTTTTCTCACTCTGGCCAAAAGCTGTTTTCGATGTGGAGGTCAGTTTGAGCCCCTTCCCAATAATTCCCAAGGTGAATTTACTGCCAAAAATGTTCATGTGCAATGTTTTCTTAAATGCAGTCCCATCCTCCTCGTTCTTCTTTGGTCTATCCTGTACCAACAACTCACCAGTAACTTCACTGCTTATCCTGTGACTTCTCCCATCACAGACAAGGGATGGATCAGGAGTCTCTGAAATGCTCCTGAATGAGATCTTCAGAGAAACAACAAAGGCAATCAGGAAATCCCTTCTAACAAGGGGTTGAAGACACTGTTAAGTTGTGCAGGGGAGCAGCATCTGCCAAAGAATTCCCTGCTTGGCAGCCTGGGATGCTCAGCTTGAGGAGATGTCAGGAGTTACCTGTGTGCCTGGGCCTGGAAGGATTCCCTCTCTAACCATCAGAAAGTATGGAACATGATAGTGCATTAGCTGGATTATACTGTGCTCTACAGGATTAGGGAATGG